ACTAGCTGACAGACAGTGTGATTCGCAGTTTCTCTGGACTCACTACTCACAGAGGGCTAACCACACCGCAGTTCGTCTTTTTTTTTTTCTTTTTTTTTTTACAGTTCGTTTTTCATTCGGCACGAAGTACAAATACAGGTCCGGGAAAAGGGACTCAGAGGTACTGGTGGATAAAAATATAAACATACAATTAAACAAAAAGATATAGTGATCAGTTTAATATCTGATCTGTGGTCCATCGGGCCACTACGATATTAAATTAATTTTTATGGGCTTCGGAGGGGTCTTATGGGTAAGCTTGCTTGCTCGACCCCTCCACTGTTGCCTCTGTATTGCACTGCAGCAGACTACGGTGCGGTGCGGCCCTATTAAAAAAAAAAGAAAAAAAACAGAAGAAGATATAATAATCCCTTTCTGGACCAATCCATTTCATACATGCAAGTGTAGGCCGTAGGCCGTGCACGCAATTGTACACATACAGCGCACGCACACTGGGAAATAGGCAGCCATAAAAAAGAAGGGGTCGCAGGCCTGGATCAGGGGACACCTGCCCCCTCTTCGGAAATTTGTCGTAGCATGACACACAAAAAAAAAAAAAGTAAAAAAAAAAAAAAAAAAGAGTAATGTCACCCCATAGACCTATTTGAGGCTATTTCTGACCTAGGGCCTCCTTCTACACCACTTGAATATACTTTCAGCGTTTGTTCGTTCTGACCTAACTCACGAAGGGTGATTAATTTCCCCCAACTTATTTGTTCGTTCCACAACCCCATGATGAAACCCTTGAGACGGCCGTCCTTGAAACTGAAGTGCTGACGGAATTGCACCAGGAACAGTGGTGCTTGCTGGGAAAACAAAAGAAAACAATAAAAAGGTCGGCATTGCTCACGTAGGCCATTTTGAACGACCAAAATGGGTATATTACCCATTTTGAAGGTTGAAACCCTTGCGCCCCAAGTGACCTCCCAAGGCACCCTTGGGATTTTCGTCGATTTGCCTGGGCCGCACTTCCGTTTCAAGGGCGGACACTTGGCCGCGGGGATGTCGAAACAATTAGCGAAGTCAAGGGTGCGCGATTAGGGAAGGGTCGAAAATCGAACGAGGCTTCCTTGCTGTCCAACGAGGCCCCTAACAGTCAAGAAATGTCCCAAAGACCGACCTTTTTGAGGCTATTTCTGACCTATTTGAGGCTATTTCTGACCTACTTGAGGCTATTTCTGACCTAACAGTCAAGAATGATGTCGCAAAAAAGGTGGGGAGCCTCACCTGCTGGAAAAGGGGTCCAGCGTCTGTGAGGCTATTTTTCTGACCTAACAGTCAAGAATGATGTCCCAAAGACCTATTTGAGGCTATTTCTGATGCTCAATGGGACAAGAAGAAAAAACCTTGCACTGCTGTAAAAAATGGACAGGATCTCTTCCCCAGATAGTGCACTCATCTCCATCTACAAAAGAAAAAAAAAGAAAAAAAAGAACAGAAACCGTTGCTGCTGCGCCGCACGGGCAGCACACCGCACTGCACAGCCGTGCCGCTGATGCGGTTGCAAGTATGATCCATATTTAACCTGACGAACCTGCCACACTACCCGCTTCACCCGAATAAAACGCCCTGTCATTAAAGCTGCATTTGACCTACCTTTCAGTCCAGATACAGCTATAATGACCGGGCGTTGTAATCGGGTGAAGACGATAGTACGACTCGTTGTACGACAAAGAATGACAAACGCTGGCATAGAGCAAAACATGGCAATGCATAAGGGGAATTTTGTCTGAACATGTACTTTGCACAAAGGTAAAGGGAAACGAAAATGGATATTCATATTATTCAGCCATCCAAAAACATCTGCAGAACCAGCAAAAACTGACAGGAAGAGGGTCAAAGGAAAGGGGGTGGGAGGGAGGGAGAGGGGGGGGGGGGCAAGGGGGGACGGGGGGGGGTAGGAGGCATCAAAAGCAACACCAGCCAGTCCTAAGGATACAACAGCCCATCAACCTTCTCTTCGCCATGAGCAAACAATCACAGACACAACAGTCCGTCAACAAGATTTAAATACAACCCAGCTTATCATCATTAAGCCAGAACTGCATCTATATCATAAATCTGTACAAACCTCCCTCCCTCCCTCTCTCTCTCTCTCTCTCTCTCTCTCTCTCTCTCTCTCTCTCTCTCTCTCTCTCTCTCTCTCTCTCTCNCTCTCTCTCTCTCTCTCTCTCTCTCTCTCTCTCTCTCTCTCTCTCTCTCACACACACACACACACACACACACACACACACACACACACATGTATTTGATCCACAGTGTGCACCAACCGAATGACCGGCCAGAGACTGCAGCCTGAGCTGCACAGCAGCAAAGCACCCTACCTACCTAGGAACAAAGGCAGAAGAAGCAGAGCTCAAACCCCCCGTCTCCCCCCCGCCCCAGTCATGACAACTGAAGGGAATCGCATCGGAAGTCGAACAAACGCGGCAAGCTATTTGGTTTTGCAACCAACTAGGAAAGCTTCCGGGATGGGTGGGGTGGGCATGCTGGAACTTATTAGAACAATGAATCGGGGCATCTGCAACACTGCCCCAGACATAAATCTTGATGCAGAAAATCAAGATTTCCAAGCACCAAAGGCAGTCGAAATAGACTCTCAAGTGTATGCTCCAAAGATTCTACAAGGACACTACAACCTAACCAATTAGAACTGTCCAATCAATCAATCAATCAATCAATCAATCAATCAATCAATCATCAATCAATCAATCAATCAATCAATCAATCAATCAAACTATCCATTTATCTTCCTATCTGCGTACCAATCTACTTATCGATTCATCTACCTCTTGCACCTAATCTATAACTGTTTTCCTTTCAGCAAATCACTTCTGGGAAGAAACCCATTCCCTCATATATATTTGTTCCCCCAGAGAAATAACCACCAGTCCCTGGGTGTTGTCCATCACCTTTCTCCTCCTTGATCTCTGCTGTCCCTCCCTCGGTTCTGGGACGACAGCATGCAATCGAAAGAAACAGAAAAGGGGTCTCCCTGTGTTCCCCCTATCACAACCACACCCTAATCTCAACATGCTAACATCGTGACAGTTGGCTCTGCCACCACAAAAGCCGTAATGGAAGCGAAAAAAAGAGCCGAAAGCATGCCCGTTTCGCTCTGGACTAAGGGTATGCCAGGTTAGATCATGATTAACCCCCCCAAAAGGGGGCCCCTTTGCCGTTGTGCCTCCTCTCATCAATTGTAACCTCTACTTGGTGGATCGATTGCGCTTTTTCCCTCAAACTATTGGAGCAAAGATGTTGCATAACCCCTTTTATGCAACATCTTTGCTCCAGTAGTTTGAGGGAAAAAGCGCAATCGATCCACCAAGTAGAGGTTACAATTGATGAGAGGAGGCACAACGGCAAAGGGGGCCAAGATCCGCGAACAAGGGACCACAGCGTTTGTGCTCTTCCCCCCCCCCCCCCCCCCCCCATTCATTCCAACTGGCTAGTTTCCAACCTTCTCCTCCCGCCTAGTCATCATCCCATCCTCGGTGATACCGAAGCGACCTAAATCCAACCGTTTGATTTTCTCACTCATGCCTCCAATCTTCAAACTCAAACTCTGAAGTGCTGAATGGAAACACGGTCGTCCCGCTCGTGTTAATCTTGGTTGCAGTGCCCTGGCCCTGTCATCGAAGGAGGCACTGTCTGCTTGGTTCTCTAAACGCCGCCCCCCCCTCCTTGGGGATTGTCCAAAGACGAGATCGCCTCCCACCAAGTCTGCCGCCTGCCGCTCTTCCATTGTTGCCGTCGTCTTCCTCCTGGAACTCGGGAGTCTATTCTGGAGATGTCGTTTCACGTCCGGCGAACTGTTTTTGCGTGGCGACTTTCTCAGCGGCTGACCTTCGAGGACGCCTCCCTTCAGAGGACTTCCTCTGTCTCCCGGCGATGCCGTGGCCAACTCCGGACCATTCTTGAGGCATTGATTGCCTCCTGTCTTGATCTCATTCAACACTCTCAATGGTATCGCCGCAGCCCTACCCGGTGCCAATTCGTGACCACTTGGCAGCGCTACCTGCTCGACAGGGTCCTCCACGATTGCAAGCATTCGCTTGCCTGTTTTCGTGAACAACAACCTTCCATCTGGATAGTTAGAAATAGGCGGTTTCCGGGAACCAGCATCGTCACCGGTTGGTTTCCACGAGGCTGTAAGGTCGAGCTGCTTCCCATCCAAGGCGGAATGAATGTGCTTTCCGAGCGGCTGAGCAATACTTAAGCTCCTTCTTTCCCTCTTCCGTCCGGGCAAGTCAAAGCTGTCCAAGGATGGGCGCATATGCCCACCATTTGGAGTGATTCTGCTGCTGCCAGAAGGAGCAGCAGCAGCTGAAGGCGAGTCAATTCTCTGCACCTGTGCCTCCACATGCAGCTCTTTCCCCTCCGCCAGTCCTCTCCTTTCTCTCCCACCGCCTAAGCTCCAGGATGGCTTTTGCTTCCATTCCACTTTATCGCCATTGCCCACAGCTGCCACATGCACCGGCACTTGTCCTTCTGCTTGCACGCCCTCATACCCCCTCCCTCTGCTCACCCTCTCCCTGCTGCTTCTCCAGTGCAGGTCTGGCTCCGCATCCACCCTGCCGTCCCACTGCTCTCCCTTCTCATTGAGGTCCCATTCTCGTGCCTCCACTGTGAGTTCCAGAACCATGTCTTGCACAGCCAACTCAAGACATGAGATTTGCTGATCCACGCTACTTCGCCAAGAAGAGCTGCACTCCTCTGCCTCATTATCGGGTCTACCCGTTGCCCAGAGCCGTCGTGACTCAGCAGATAGCTCCAAAATCAGGTCATGCATTCTGAGCGACAGATCGTCGACTCTGGAACTGCTTCTGGCAAGCGCCTTCTCCAGACGACCTACCTTCTCTACGCATTTTTTGTCCGACTCTGCTTCTCTCACCCGACTCACTGACTGCTCCTTGCCGTCTCTCCCCTGGCTCACTACACGACCACTCTGTTCCCCGGTGTTTTCCCCTGCTTCCCCTCGCGATATGCCATCTGCACAACATGCTGCTGCCTCATCATGATTCACTGCGATAACAGACACAGGTTCCGCCGCGCAAAACTTCGTATTCAGGCACCCCGCTTCCACCTCGTCTGCTACTGAGGCCTTCGGCTGCCCTCCGCTGCCGCTCGTTGTTGGACCCTCAAGCAATGCCTCAGAACGAGGAGGAATGCTGCAGACCTCCCCCACCTCCTGCCTTCCACTCCTGCTGACCTGTTTTCCCTCCTTCGCAGGAGATGCCATCTTTTCAACCTTGCTCTGCAGTGCCTGCACCATTTATCAACAGCAGCATTCAGTAAACACAACATCATGAGAGATACACCATCTTCTCAACCTTGTTCTGCAGGGGGTGTGGGAGGGGGGGGGGGAGACGTGGAAGACACTCAAACCCTGCAACATCACTACCGATGGCTATCGCATGCACATGCCCCTTACTCATTTGTTCAGTGTCAGGGTACAGACAAAAGGAGCATTTAATGAAAACTCCCTTCAATTACTCTGTTTTCATTCTTTCCACTTCAGCGTCACATCGATCTCACTTTCCCTCTCAAGGACCCAGACATCTTTTGCAGGCACAACGCCCCAAGACACACACACACACACACACACACACAGACACAGAGAGAGAGAGAGAGAGAGAGAGAGAGAGAGAGAGAGAGAGAGAGAGAGAGAGAGAGAGA